ACGCACGGTTTTTTAATGCACAATTTGAGAATGTTAATGTTAAAAAAACGGTGATATTTTTTAATAGGTCGCTTAATTACGTCTTTAAGATTACAATGACGCTTTCAGAATCATGTTTGGTTGAAAATTAACGCCTGTAGAGAGGCTGAAAGTTCATAACTTTTGTAGCCTCCGTTATAAACAAATTGAATTGTGCGAAAACTATTGCACCTACAGCGCCCATTTTTGGCACACTTTTAAAGTATGACAAAACCCTCAACTTGTCATAGGTTTTATAAAAATTTAACAATAAATGCGATAGTAATAAACAAATTAAAAAATGGGCACTTTTCTTGTTTTTTTTTGCAATAACTTTTTTGTTTATTAACCGATTTTAATTTAACAAGTTTTATTTTGTAGATAATTTTATTCCCTACAAGCTGTCTGAGAGTCACTTTTCGCTAAAACTGATGGTTTTCCCTGCAAAGTGAAAAAACTGTTTTCCTCACTTATTTGTTTAAATAGAAAAGTTAGCTAATAAAAATTTTTGACTCGCGAGATGGGGGATGTCTTGTATTATGTTCCTTTAGACAATTTTACAATAATCTCGCGGATAGGACTTCTTCGAGTTTCTGTTTTTTTTTCGCTAATTTTCCAGGTCTAAACAGAGCGGAATCCCATCCGGGGACACTCGATTAAAAATCTTATGAAATCTGGTTGGCGCTGCAACGGCATTAATCGATTTAAACGTGTAAAATTCATTAAAACATTTCCACCGCGGTGCCCCTCGCGTTCGACGTGCCTGTCGTCGTGATTCTCCAATTAATTATATTCTCTCCTTGTCGCTAATACTTTATTACTCCCCCCCTGCCCGCGCGGGCTGTTTGCGTAAACTGGAAATAATTTAGAGCGCGAATCAGACAAATATGGAACCTCCGAAACGATACAATTTAGGTCGATAGACGTCGAAATGTTGACGTTCCAGCGAATAGGAAATTATTCCAAACTGTAAGACTTCTGCATTCAACGTTTCGCCTGTCATTAACGGAACTTCGTCGATAGGTTGCTAAATTCGAAGGCAATGTGGAAACTAAATCGAAATTACAAATTAAAAATCAATTACATGATAAACTAACTTATTTTAGAAATAAGAAAAAGTCCAATTTCTCATAATCCTTTTATTTTTAAAAAGACTACTGGTTTCGAGGTCAAACTTTACACCACATCTTCAGGTCTTAAAAGGCTACAATATAATATAAGTTTTCTAAAAATATGTCAGGTTATGTTTAATTTAAATTTTATAGAAGTCAAATTATGTTTTATATTATTAATCTATTTAATAAATTATTAATTCTTACAAATACAGACTATTTGATTTTTTTAAATTATTTCTTATGTTTTAAACATTAAACATAATAAATATAAAATACAAAATAAAACTTTTTTATATACAATACTTACATATCACAATTACAGGAATATTCAACCATATTACTATCCAAAACATATTGGGATTTTGTCAACAAGATAAATTTCACTTTTTTTTAAAAACAAATTTTAAAGACCAAATACAAAAAATTAATTAAAATTTTTTCACAATGATTTGATTTGACAATCTTTTCAGTTTTGAGGTTAGGTTCTTGGGTTAAGGTGTCAGATTTGGGTACAGTATGGCACAAAGTGTGTGCTCTCGGAAAAACTGTTGATCGAATCTCTGTACAATAAAAATATTTTTCATTTTTTTTTATTAATTCATAATTTAGTAAGTTTAAACTTAGTTAATGTTGGTTTTGAGGTTAGGTTTTGTAGATTCAAATTCATGGTTTGGGTATAACTTGTTACTTAGGGTTCTATTGAATCTATTTCGTACTATTGGCATGTAAAAAAACTTTTTTCCAATGTAAATTTCATTTAAGGCTTTTAGGTTAGAATTAATAATTTTGAGGTTGGGTTTTTGAAGAAAAAATATCAGATATATCATCAAGGGTCGTAATAATCAATTTTATTAACAGCAGATACTTTTTAAACATTTTTTTCTACAACTGAACATCGAGTTTTTAAAAAATTTTTCTTCGACATTGAGGTTGAGGCGCTCCCTAAGCATTAAAAAAAAGGGTTTTTCAAAAAAACCTCACCGGAATATGAAAATTCAGATTACCACGAGATTATTAAAAAAAATCACGACGAGACAATGAAAATTGGCGAGTGGCGAGAATTTTGTCCAATATTTCCCACTGTGGTGCGGCGCGAAAAATAGTTCTCAAAGAAGCTCCAGAGCCGCAGTAGACGACACACCAGAAACTGACTCCGTAAAGTTGAAAAAATCGCCCTAATTTCGTATTTCGTAAAATAAAAACTCCCAAAAAATGCGAAATTCGATTTGAAGAATACAAAATCACACTACCAAGTCAGACACGTTCCAGGCGATTAATATTATTTAAAAAAAGATTAAATCCAGAACAGGCCCAGTGTCCATCTTCTTCCTTCATCTTCATCTTCATCTAGTGGTTGGTCCTTTAAAAAGTCCCATAGCACTGCGGCCTAATTAGGCCTATTGTGCGTCCCACTACTAGTCCTATTCAGCAAGTAGATTTGTCCTTTTTACAAAGTCCAAAAGCTTCCTTGCTGACACTTCTCTCAATTCCTTGGGTTCCAAATAGGGTCTCCCAAGGAGCGTCATTCTGCTACATGCAAATCCCGGGCACTCGCCCAGTCATCCGCTGATTCACATCCTCGGCAGACTGGACTGTCTACAAGCTTTAGCTTATGTAGATGTTTCCTAAAGTGACAGTGTCCCGTTATGAGTCCTGTCACTCTCCTGAGCCGGATTCTATTCAAGCTCAGTAACTCATTCGCTCTTCCCTTCGAAGGATACTCCATAAGCTCCTTAGAATGGCTATGTCCTGGCCTTGAAGTCCAGTATTTCCTATGTTCTGTCTCTGTCCATTTGCCCAGAGCCCGCCTGACCACACTGGGAGATGTGCCACAGAAGGGCTCCGGGCCAATGAACACTGTCTCGGATCCCTTCCTAGCAAGTTCATCCGCTTTCTCATTTCCACAAATGCCTTTGTGCCCTGGCACCCATCACAGTCTGACTGTATTGGTGGTGGCCAGTTCACTCAGCATTTGTAAACAGTCCCACACCAGTTTTGAACTTACCTTGTGTGCGGCTAAAGCTTTAATTGCAGCTTGACTATCAGAGAATATATATATGAGTTTACGTCTATAACCTCTACGTACATTCTCTGCCAGACACGCCATTATCGCGAAGATTTCTGCTTGGAATACAGTAGGGAACTCCCCCAGACTGTAGCTTGCACTCCATCTGGGTCTGAGTCCATATATTCCTGCACCCGTCCCTCTGGTCATTTTGGAGCCATCTGTAAACCATACTAGGCTCCACCTTTCCAGGGTATTAAACCTTTCCTCCCACTTGCTTTGATCCTCTATTCGAGTCTCAAATGGCTTGTGGAAATGAAATCTTGGGACTATCTTGTCGGATACCATCCCAAGAGTTGGTTCCGACATAGATGTGTCTATGATCCTGGAGTGGGAATCACCCCTCCAGTCATTGTTATTCCTGAGTTGAAGCTGCTAGTCGCGCTTCTCTTTCCACAACTATATGCAGCGGTGGCAGATTTAGCATGACTTCTAGTGCAGCTGTCGGGGTCGATGCCATCGCCCCCGTTATACCTAAACAGGCCAATCTCTGAATTCTATTCAGTTTTTCCTTCGCTGTGGTCTGTTGTGTTTTCTGCCACCATACCACAGCGCCGTAAAGAATCCTGGGTCTTACTATCGACGTATACAACCAGTGTGACATCTTTGGTTTCAGTCCCCAGGTTTTCCCAATAAGGCGACGGCATACACACAATGTCTGCTTTGCCTTACTCACCACTTTTTCTAAGTGCGCATTCCAGGTAAGCTTACTATCCAGTATAACTCCTAGATATTTTACTTCCCTGGAAAGTGTAATGCCCCTCTCCCCTATTATAGGTTCAGAGAGTCCAGTTAAATTTCTTCTCCTGGTGAAGGGTACTACGACCGTTTTGTCAGGGTTTACTGACAGTGCCTGACCCTTACACCAGTCATCTATCCATTTCAAAGCCTCTTTCATGAGTTCTGAAACGATAATATTATGTTTCCCGACTATGAGAACGACCAAGTCGTCCGCATAGCCTTGTGTATAAAATCCCTTTCGATTAAGGCCCTCCAGTGCGCCGTCCACCACTAATCCCCATAATCCCGGTGTCCAAATCTAAGGCCGAGTTCGCTGCAGGACCTTTGCGGTCCTATCAAGAAACGTGATCGAACGTCTACCCTGGTGTCTTGCGATTCAATAATCAGGTCAGTACGTGTGGTACGGTTAAGATAATGGTCTATTGCAGACAATAAATGAAGCGAGAATTTGCTTTGTCGCAATTAGACCCTTAAGTAATCTCTTTTGATATTTACCTCCCAAATAATTAACGATGTCTTTTTGGTACCTGGAGGACCGTCATGTAATAATATTAATAATAGGTTGATAGAATAAAACTAAGATTTTTTTTATAGAGTACCGTTACATTGTTAAAATATCACACTGTGCATCGCGTCGATCCAACACGCCACTGTTCTCCCGGGCTCACCGTGTCGATTACACGGCTCCGCATCCGGCGACCCCTGACCTCTCCCTCCGATACAGAAGCTCTCCTTAATTGACAGCGTTAACGGCGCGCCGGCCCTTTTGTTCGCCGACATCGCCAGCGACTCACAAAGCCCTAGGTACATTCCCTGCTTTTGTTTACTGCCACAGTTTTATCTACAACTATAATGGGACGGCGTCGCCGCAACAAATAGTGTAGATGTGTCTCGGGCCCGCTTTGTTATGCCTGCGTGTCGGGTGATACGCGCTAATGAGGCCCGAGAACGCCGAAAAATGGGTGGGGGGAGTTAAAGAGTGGGCCGGGCGGGGAGGGTAACGCCGGCTTTGTTTGTTGTTTGGCGAAACACGTTGTTGTACACGGCGAACCAGAAAGCTCTTGTCAACTGACGATACGTCCGTTGACATAACATAAAGTCGGTAAACAGCGTAATTACTTGTTTTGGTTTATCATGCGTCATTAGCATTCATCAAAATAATATTAAATTAGAATATTTTGACATACCTTATTGAAGAGCGTAAATTTAGAAATTTAGTAGTTTAGACACTAAGAACGAAGAAGACTACCAAAAATGAATTAGACCCCCTCGTTACCCCCTAGCGTCACTTTACCACCCCCATACACCTCTTTATGGGGGTTGAAGTGTCAATTTTCGTACGAAGCGTTCTAACGTTGAAGCGAAACAGCTGGTTTCCTTAGTAGTCTTGAATTTTGCAATAGGTTTCAAAATCAAAGTGCAGCGAATTCCGATAACAGAGTGATATGAACGAGTGAGTGAGTGTTTTTTTAGCCGTACTGTCACTTTAAATAGGTAAGTACCATACTACTCTTTGACAAGCAATAAGTCGCATAATAAGGTATACGTACTACAACTGAATAATTAATTAAACATAACACTAAAAACTCATATTCAATTACAAAACGTTGTGAAAGCATCAACATTAAAAATATTAAATAACCTAACATTGAACAACAGTTGTTATCCTTATGCATTTGTTTTTATTAACAAACAGATGATACTTGTTAATATTTCTGTGGCAAAAAGGAAAAAAGGGATAAGTCTACATATCCCACAATTCACATTCTTCTCTCCCAGCATTTATAATATTGTTTTTGATGATCTGACAAAATGGGATATCTCTACTTAATATAGTATTGTCTGTGTCTGTTATTTTCACTGGATGTGTGCAATATAGTGCAATAACAACATTGTGTTGTGTAGTAAAGTGCCTAATATAAAGAAAAACAATGGATATCAATAGTCGTGGATATACTTTACTTAATAAGTGTATAAATGTTGATGTGATCGATGATAAACGTAAGTTTGAATATGATGGAGTAACATAACCTCAGAAAAAATATGTTTTATTGTGATGTACAAAACTATTATTTTTACCAATTATTAAAATTATTAATAAATAAGTATGTTACTACTATATCACTTGTGTATGTCTACTTATGGCTAATTAGAAATTTGAGTATACCTGTCAACATAAAAAATTGAAAATCTCAAAACGGGTTAAGTCGACTTGCAACCTTTGAGAATTTTAGCAAAGTTGGATAAAGTAAGGTATTCAGGGATAAGTAATATATTTAATGGTTTTTCAAAAACTAATGGCCAGATGCAGTCTACTTCTGTGCATATTTTACATCAAATGACATTGGTCATCCTCAGAAGTACAAAACAGGAAAAAAGAGTTTAATCACTTTTTAGTGAAACAGTTTTATTTAGCTCCTCTAGAATATGAAATTTAGACTTATCCCCTTTTTCCTTTTTGCCACAGATTTAAAATGTAAAAAAATATCTTATTCATTCATGTGTCTTGGTAAAAAGGTCTGTTTTCGTCATTCACTATTAAAAACGCAGTAAAAGCTAAGTTAGTGACCGAATATGGTAGGTCAAGATTCACTCTCGATAAACCTTTGTAGGTCAGCGGTCAGGAGCGGTCCAAAAGGGGTTTAAATAATTATTTGAAAATATATTTTTTTTGCGTAAATATGCAGTTTAAAATTTTTTTAATCGTATATTCGTATTTTACTTATTTTTCCATACCTTCCCTCAAGATTAATGACATTATGACGCAATCACCCTGTATAAAGATAAAGAGTGGCCGCAAAAAAAACATATTTCCGCCTGTTTTTGAGACTTTTACAGAGGCGGCACGGAAAATCCTAAAAATATTTTAAAAATATTCAAAAACTCGTCATGAAAAATTAAAATGAGTATCACTTTCAGTTTTTCGAAAATTTTCGAAAATCATCCTTCTTTAGGAGTTGAAAAGACAAAAAAAGTGAACAAATTAAGAATCATCAACAGTTGTAAAACCCCAAATATTTCTATGTTCTCATCAAAATAATATTATGAACGTGAAAATATCTAATTTCGTATTTGCTACGGTCTTGTCCGGATTGAAAATCAACACTTAATATCCCTAAAGGGGTGAAATCATCCCCTAAATGCCTATAAATGCAAAAAATATATTAAAAGTTACATTTTTTTCTTTTTCTTTTATATGTGATAATTGAACCGTTAACAACCCACAATCACTAGATCCGAAGGAAAATACCGCTAAATGAGGGTAAAACCACCCCTAACTTCAAACATATACGGCAGCCAAACTTCTAACACCCTGTGTATTGGAGAAGAGTATCTCTGCTGTTTAATGTGAACTCCGGTAAAATAATCAAGAGGATAAGGGACCACCAAACAAGTCCATCAGTTACTACATCTGTCTGAATCGATCAAAATTTTGTGTAATTTTATACCAATGTTGCAAAAACAGCTTTAAAATTAATCAGTGATTTGAAAAATGTCAAGAAACTTAAAAAAAAACTCATAGGCGTAGAAATTCTGTAGTAACACAGTAATAGGAGCTGCGAGTGAAGCAAATGGAAATAGGGTTTTCTCTAAATAAACTATAATTTTGTACAAACTGACAATCGCATCCTGAAAAGAACAAAGTTACTCGATTTCGAGTAGTGTTTTACATTATAATACATAATTATTATTTTTTATATTCTTGTTAGTTTGTTAGTACACTTTAATATATACAGGTACTTTTTTACATTTTTGGCTGACCTCAATCTAAAAAACGTATTTTTATTTTATATTAATTTACTTCTATTTTTTTGAGTTTATCGCCATCTATTTTTTTCATTTTTGTTTTTTTTTTTTACTAAAAATATTTAGTTTTGGTTATCTGTAAACAAAAATCCTTAATTTTTCCTTCTGTCCCGAAAACAAGAAATAAAAAGTTGGCAACTATACTGGGTGATCCGAATTTTATGCAGGAAACTTCGAGGACAGATAGATCTCTTTAAAATAATATGTGTTTGTCTTATAAACATAGGTCTGGAACGGCCTCGTTTTAGAGATACAGGGTGTTGAAGTTGTTAAAAATATATATTTTTTGTTTATACATATCTCAGGAATCTATTAACCGATCTCAATAAAATTTGGTACAAATAATGTACGATAGTAAGCCTTGCATTCCCTAAAAGTTCTAAGGGTTTAACCAGTGGTGTACAACTGGACAGGGGTCACACACTTTTTATAAAAAGAACCTACGCCACTGTTTATTTTACAAGTTACTCTAACGGATTTATATTCTAATGCACTAAATATGTAAAAAAGGTGACTTGAATATTTTCCTTAAGGTTCGCCATTTTCAAGTTATTCACACAAATAATACAATCCCTTGTGGCAGACATTTCAAATCGTAATATTACAAAAATATTTATGTTTATATTTAAAAGTAAGTGCAATTTGTAAGCACATCAACAAAATTCTTTCCACATCAGTTGTGAGGTAGTGTTCCTGGTGTGTTTTAGTTTTCCCTGGAGGCATTATCTTTACAAAAAAGAACAATTTAAATCAAAATTATAATAAAAATACATTTACCAAGCAACAACAACTAAACAAGAAACAAAATTAACATTACGTATTTACAGCAATTGTTCAAAATGCGAACTTTTCAAATTTTCGATTTACTCACCCCAAGTTGCCGAGACGTTCTTCGTGAACCTACTTAGCCGAGGATCGTCGTCAAATGCTTTCTAAATTTCATTTCTGTGCCTTTCATTCCTTTGTCGTGATTTTCCAAATATTGTTTTAATCCAAAAAGATGAAAGCGATGAGTGTAAATAATTTTGTTGATGTGCTTACAAATTGCATTAACTTTTAAGCATAAACATAAAAATTCGTTACAATAGCTTGTAAAAAATACAGAGGCGTAGGGTTTTTTTTATAAAAAAGGGGGTAACCCTGTCCAGTTGTACACCATTGGTTGAATCTTTAGAGCTCATATTTTAGGGAATATAAGGCCTACTTCATACATTATCTGTACTAAATTTTATTGAAATCGGTCGATGGATTCCGGAGATATAAACAAAAAATATTTTTTTTAACAACTTCAACACCCTGTATCTCTAAAACGAGGCCGTTCCAGACCTATGTTTATAAGGCAAACACCTACTATTTTAAAAAGATCTATCTGCCCTCGAAGTTTCCTGCATAAAATTCGGACCACCCTGTACAAGTAATAAAGTATTTTTGAGTAAATAAAAAACATTCATTTCATAAAATACATCTAACGTTATCGATTTGTAATAGGTATGTCTGCAAAACAAAGCGAAAATTTATACGATTGCATTGATTGGCTTAATATTTGTGCCTAAAAAAAAGGATGCCGATATTACACATTTAACAAACAAAACGGCTTTCTCGCAATTCAACCTTGACTGTGGAATAGCGAAAAGAGAACGAGAAGTTAATAAATAGCCCGCAATTTGCACCTAAGGGGTTTTTAAGAGAGGCCACTTTGGCAAATATTATTTATTCAGCCGGCCATTCCAGCGCTATTTTTCGCAATGAACGTAATAAACCTCTTGCTGACCGACGTAGTTTACATTACAATTGGGTGGTTAACCTCTTTTCAAGGTGATAGTTTCTGGTGTTTTATTAGTTTTACTCGGAAAACGAACAATACTTTCGATTTGTTGGCTATTCCCTGATGTCTTGTGAAATTCAACGAAACAAATCCGCATAGAAGTCGGCGAATGGGCAATTTATTCGTAAAAATTTTATTTTACCAACATTTTGTGGTGGTTAATCGGGTGTTAGGAACCTCAAAATGGTCTCAATTTGCTGGCATTCGTTTAAAAACTTGACTAAACATTTGGCACCATATTTTCAATTTTTAGATTATGTGGTAATATTTGTGCCATTCTTTTAAAAACACCCTGTATGTTTGTTTGTATACCCAGATAATTTGTTCATATTTGCAAGTGCTTTCACCAAATTCCATTTTTATCAGAAATATTCCCAGAGTTTTACGTCAATCGAAATTATATCATTCCTTTAAAATTATCAACTGTTTTCGTGACAAGAATATTATTTCATTGTTTACGTTGATAGTGAAGCAATAACGGAAATAAAAAATAAATATTTATTAAAGAACAACCATGTGTATGTAATCAATTAACAAACTTATTATCACAAAAAAATCTAATGCTTCTTTTTGCAATCTGCTTTGATTTCGTTGACCTTTTCCGCTTCCTTTAATCGATCCACGAGCTTCTGCACACACTCACAGTCCAGCCTCCTGACATCCTGGACATTAGTCAGCTTGACCGCGGAAACTATGTCGTACGACAAACAAGTTATGTTGTTATTATGCGTCAGATCCAAGATGTCAATGTCGGATGTCAACTTTGGAAACATCTTGCTCGGTAACGCTTTCAGTTTGTTTTTAGAAAGGAACAGAATACTCATCTGAGTGATTCCAGCGAAAATTCCCTCATCCAGTTCCGTCAGCCGGTTCCTGTCCAGCCAAAGCTGGCTCAGTTCCTCGAGCCCATAGAGAGCATCTGGCGAGATGTAAGATATACTGTTCTTGCTGAGGTAGATCTTGGTATCCACCAAGTAGGTTCCTTGGTAGACGTGACTGCCTTTGATGTTCTGGAAGGCTTTGCTGGGGATGCTTTGGATGTTGTTCCTTCTAAATAACACCTCCGTCAGAGACGGTGAGTTGTGGAACCAGTTGGGATCCCAAACGGAGATCTTGTTGGAATTTAGTTTAAGTTTGTACAACCTAGGCATGTCGTCGAAAGCCTTGGTATCGATAGTAGCGATCTGGTTCCTTTGAAGATACAACGTGGTCAAGTTCATGTTGTTGAATACACCTGCACGCACGTGGTCGATTTCATTGTCTAGCAATGCCAAGATTTCTAGCTTGGGCAAATTCTCGAATGCCCCCGCCAACACGTTGGTTACCCCACAAAAACTGAACTTCAAAATGGTCGCGTTGCTGAGGTTCCTGACACTGCCTTTGGATAAAGTCGGGATCCTACCACCGACACGCAAGTAGTCGCTGTCGGGAACAGTACTCTCATCGAAGACTTCCACATCGTTCAGTGTTATCTTCCTCCCTCTGGACTGCGTTCTGTACCAACCTTTCTTCAGTAAGACAGAGTCCACGGCACTCACGACCGCGGTTAGAAGAACCAGCGCGTAAACAAATGCCTTACGCATTTTTACAGACCCGGGGAATACTGGTAGTTAGCGAGTAGTTTCTTGGGCCTGCAGGGTCAGTTCTGGGTCAGGGGCCACCGGCTATCGCAGAAAAACGAGAGCGGCGCTATCGGAGCGGCGATAAACAGTGACTTCGTGGAAAGTGCGATTAGTTGACCGTAAACAAGGGCGTGTGCAGCGTGGCGTTGTCCGAGTTGCTCAACTAGTTTGGAAATCTCGGCAATGGTGAGTGTTCTACATTTCACCGGCGAAGTCAAGGTTGAGTGAGAGCAGGTGGGCTCGCACCTACCATTCGACAACGGAAAATCTTTTTAAAAAGGAAATGTAATCGTTAGGTGACGCGGTAGGTACAAAGTTAACGAGCAAAGTTAAAAATCCGTACAGGATATAATACAGGGTGATCGAGAATGATTGACCGTGCCGCCTCGTACTGATTTTTGATGTGCGGCATACCAGTTTTTGATACCAAGACTAGAATCATGAGCGCAGGTTGAGGGATTTTAATGGTAAACAAATAATTACGTTCAAACCTCAAATAAATTAGGTTACTGTCGAAATGGAAATTCGTAATAAAAATATCAATTATTTAACAAAAATCAAAGTTATTTCACAAATTAAGCAATACTGATGGACCAATAAATGTTATTGTTATTATTATTATAATTTTTTTTTAAGAGGATAAATAATAGTCTAGGGGTGTAAGGTCAGGAGAACGTGGTGGCCATCTATCTCGACTAATTATCCGATCATCATAATACTCTCTAATCAACTCTAAAGTTTCGTTAGAGGTGTGAGCTGTTGCGCCATCTTGCTGAAAGTATCCATGATGGATTTCATCGTCGTGAAGTTCCTCAAAAAATGGTAACAATATTTGCTGCCGATATTACATTTTCACGGAAAAAATATAGTCCGATTATTCTTCTACGTGACATAGTTACCCAAACAACAAGTTTAATAGGGTGCAGAGTTGGTTCACGCAAAATATTAAAGTTTTCTGTGTTCAAAGAGCGATAATTTTGGGAGTTTCGTACCCACTTAAATGAAACTATGTTTCATCAGAAAAAAATGTTAGATCTAGAATATCGTCGTCATTCAGATTTTCGTTAAACCAATTACAGTATTGCACACGTTTTCCAAAATCTAACAGAAGTAGTTCCTGCACAACACTAACTTTATAAGGATGAAAATGCAACTTCTTTACTGCTTTAAGGCATGATGCATATGATATTCCTATAAACAATTTAGGAATAATGATAGAAATTTTAGAATAAATATTTGTTATTACCTGTTTGAGTAGATAACTGACGTAATGATTTGGTTGGACCAAATTTTTGGTTAGGTTTTGATTAGGTTAGGTTAGCTCGTAAGCGGTTTTCAACATCTTCCAAGACTTCCTCTGTAAGAATAGACTTTCTGCCCGGAGATTTTCCTCTACAAACACTTCCAGTGTTATGGAAGCGTTCCACTAATCTTTTCATGTGTCTCGAAAAAAATTTCATAATCAATTTCATCATTTGGAAATTATTCTTGAATTTGTAAATGACACGAATTCATCGAATATTTCCAACCATTATCATTGTTTTGTCCACTACGAAAATAGGCCTCCAGAAGAAATTCATCATGTTCTAATGAAAATGCCATGTTCTTAACTTAAAATTAAAAAACCGATAAGGTTAGGTAATAACATACGCAATAAATTAATGACTCACGTATAATATCCACCTTCTCTAACTGTAGTATCGAAAAATACTGTTTTATAATGTCGCAAAATATATCAGGTAACAACAAAATCTATAAAATAATATCCGTGCGCCAATGAACAGAACGTCAAATTGTGAAATTGCCACAGAACACCATGAAATCGCACAGAAAAAAAAAGGAATTTTAGGTAACGGAAATCAGTTTTGATAGCAATTGTACGTTCAGAATCCAGTCAATCATTCTCGATCTCTCTGTATAACTCCATCCTTTTTTATTTGATATTGAAAAAATATAAAATATATACAGGGTTACAACTTTTTAATTGTCCTATACACGTATCTTTCTTATTTCAAGAGTTACAGAAATTGTTAAATGGACAAAATGTGCAAAGTTTTATGGCGCTCACGGATTCGCTTTTAAATTTACAAAATTCCGAATAGTTCCGAAAATATTCGAAGAAAACCACTGATTTTATGCTATTTCTTGTTTTAATCGTATTTCACTTATTTTTCAAAATTTTTTGACAAAAATGTGTAATCTGATATTAAATGGTGTGAGGAATCGATTTTTGCTGTCAGTATTAACGTATCTTTAAAAATGTGTGCTGAGCGGTAGTTAACTTTTGTTTTTTTATGGACGGCATATTGAATTTTTGCCTTATTAGAAGACAGTGAAAATTCTCTATACAACAATGTATAACTTAAGGGGTTTTCATAAACAAATAACCAAGGTATTGAATATAATTATAATTTTAATAAAAAAAGTCAAGTAGTCATGGGAAATATTTGAGTGTATTCTATAAATTAATTTAATATTTCTTATTTTTAATACTTTTTGACATAAATTAAATTTGCCATTCAAATGGTCTTGAAGAACTTTCGTTAAGGATTATTTTCGGATTGGTGGTTTCCCTGACGCAATATTTAGGTGCGTTATTTAAAAATGGGACTCCCTGTATATATAGACCTGAGACCTACATTTAATAATCTTACGAGTTGAAAAACTTTTTTTTTCAAATAGAATGACCCATATTAATTGTCATGAGTGAATGCAAAATTGAATGCCCTTTCGACTGGTATAAGGTTGTCCATACTTAGCTTTAACAGTATTCCAGAAAAAATCAGTATCTTTTCTAAAGTCCGAAAAAGTAGCTGTGCAAAAGCGTCAAGAAGGCCTTGCAAAACCACTTTTTCCTCACATTATATCAGGCTTGAGACTGACAGTGTCAATATTTACTGACATGTTTAAAAAGTGATTTGACAAACAAAAATAAATCACTAACAACAACTAAAACAAAACTCAAAACAAACTGAAACTCGGAACACAACAAGGAAAATAATACTTAGACCGCTGATTTATATCGAAGTGTCCTCCATTTTGATTAATATACAAACGAATTCGGTTTTTAAAAGACTGTTAAGCATGCATGGCGTAATATGTAAAGCTACAAATATTTTCTTACATGGCCCACATGGTTCCAGGCAACTTTTATTAGAACCATTTTTTAATAAATTTCACAGTTGCAGAGTTACAAAAGAATCCCTTTTAGGTTGGACACCCTGTATATACTCAGTATTAATTTGAAGATGTGCAAAAAAATGACTTCTTCTGCTGTTTTGCAAAATCAACGACTACTTGGGAATATTGCGAAAACTACCAATGTCTTTAGGTTCTTCTTTAGCTCAATACATGCCTATGAGGCTTGTAAATTTTGAAATTGATCGGTCTTTTCCGGAATCGTCAGTTTTATAAAAAATAAAGGGATAATGCTCCTTACAGGTAAACATCAATTAACCATGATTAAGATGAAAAAATATTGTTTGCTATATTTTTCTCATAATTTCGCGTTAGTTACTCATTAGATATTGAAAAAAAAATACAAAACTGAAAAAAAATCAAATTTTTAAAATTTTTTTTTTTGCATTATTTTTTTGACAATTTTACATTGACTAGGTACTTATCAAACATCGAAAACAAATTTGTTCATAAAATTTAAGATAATTTTTTTTTTAAATGAACAAAATTGGTACCTACTTATTTATGAAAAAAAAACTGTTTTTTGTAAAGGCCTGAAAATTTCCAAAAAAATATTCAATAAATTACCTATAATCGGAATATTTTGAAATCAAAATTTTTTTTTCAAAATTTAATTTTTTTTAAATTTCAACATTTGAACATTTGAAATATTCATTGTGAAATTGTAAAACACTAATACATTTTGAAACTCGAATCGAATTTTTTTTACAAAATTCTCACCCTATATTATTACCTTGTTACATATAATTTGAAATAAGATACAAATAAAACGAACAAAAGCAATTCGAAATTATTTTATTCTCAACGCATTTCTTGTTTATATTATAATTGGATTATTTTAAGTACATATTTTGCACGCTTTTAAAGGCGCCATATTCTTTAAATAGTGTTTTCTACAAAGATAAGTAATTTCAAACATTTAATAACTGAATAATCTAAAGCTTATCAAATAATAGGAATGTTATGTCATGCCATCTCAGCATTTTCAAAGACGTCGCAGTAAAACGAATAAACAGGTGCAAAAAAAAACAAACAAACCATCAAGGTTTTATGTACTGAAATCTACGAAAATACTGACTTTTTTATATATAACTCCACATGTAAATATTCTTATAACATTTACTTGCTTAGTAGTACATATAAAATTGTTTACTTTTATTTATAAGTACGTGAAAAAAATTCTTAAAATGTGAGGTTAGGATAACAGCAAACGCATGTTTTACTAACGCTTTTTTTTAGTTATTATTTTATTTGAGTAAATTTAAATAGTACCAATGAATAAACAGAACACCAATGATTTTATTTTTGTGCTTACTTTGTTCTACACGTTTTACTTTTCAAGATTTCAGTACCTAAAAACGCCAGAAAGGACCCCACAATAATCTTATGGAAATTGGGTTTCTGTCAAATTGTCTGAATTTTTGATATGTTGTAGATTTTGTCATCCTGAACAAAAGTCTCAATGGGCACAAAGTGCCAAAATGAACATTTTGGCAGCTACGGAGCTGCCAAAGCTCCCCTGACCCGTTGCAAAACTATTCATTTTCAATACTATTTACAGATGTCAAAAGCATATTTTAATTATTCTAATATATAGGGTAATGTTTTTGAGGTCACTGGATTCAACCCTCATGTCAGATTGGACAAATTGACCGTTGACAGCTGTCAATACACTGTCAACGAAGAATAGAAAAGTAAATATTCTCTTTTCACATTGAGAGTTTGGGCTTTTGAGGGAGCTGAATTCAATTCTCATGCCAGATTGGCAAAATTGACAGTTGACAGCTGTCAATTGACTGTCAACGAGGAATATAAAAGTAAATAT